GATACAAGAAATTTTGATGTAAGGGTACTACAGTATCAAGTAAATACCAAGGGGTATTAAACACTATAGGAACGAGATGTCCACCTAAGTAAAGGTACTAGGTTGATGGTGTGATAAAACACTTGTATCGTATTCATATTCCTAGTCACGTAAAATATCATGTGTCTTTATGTGTGTTGTTTATTGTTGTTCTTTTTTATTTGTTTTTTAACTCCACCGATTTTCAACATGGTATCAAAGCAGATTCTGATTTTTCAACATGGTATCAGAGCAGATTCTGATTTTTCAACATGGTATCAAAGCAGATTCTGATTTTTCAACATGGTATCAGAGCTAATTTTTCTTAAGGGATCTGTGGAAGGGTTCTTAAGAGGGAGAGAAGATACACTCGAGAGAGAAGAGAATCTAAAGAGAAGATGGCTACATCATGCTCAATGCCACCTATTCCTATATTTACAGTAATCTCTACCATATTTGGAAGGTGAAGATGCAGGGGTTTCTACAGGTTATTGATTTGTGGGAAGTCAACAAGACAGGTGAGACTATTAATAACATTGCCCAAATGGAGTTACAAAATGCAACAGATAGGAAGAAAGCAAGGGCTCTGTCATACCTGCAATCGACTGTGACCGAAGAAATCTTTATGAGGATCATTGCATGCACTACCACCAAGGAGATTTGGGATAAGTTACAGATAAAGTATCAAGGTTCTGAGAAGACAAGGAAGATGAAAATCATCACATTGAAGCGGCAACTTAACAATATGAGGATGACTGAGACGGAAAGTGTAGCAATATTTTGACAGGCTAATGAAGGTTGTGAATGAAATCATAACCTTGGGTGAAATCCTTCCAAATGAGAGGTTAGTTGAAAAGGTTCTAGTAAGTGTGCCAAAAAAGTTCAAGTCCAAGATTTCGTCTCTTGAAGATTCAAGGGATATTAAATCAATGTTAATGGCTGACTTGATAAGTGCTCTTGAAGCACAAGAACAAAGAAGGAGGATGAGAGATGAGAATGGGCGAGAAGTTGCTTTATGAACGAAGGCTTAGATTTCGGGAAAAGGTAAGAGATATGAAAATAGAAGAAGTCAAGCTTTTTGCAACTATTGCAAAAAGAACAATTATTCAAAGGATGATTATTGATACAAGAATAAGCTAAACACATGCTAGTTTTGTAATAAATATGGTCACCTTCAGAGAAATTGTGATCAAAAGAAGAAGAATCAACAACAAGAGCAAACTAGTGAACTACAGCAAGAAGTAAACGTTGCAAAAGAAGAAGATGAGGAAGAAGAAGAATTGTTGTTCACTTCCATGATAGTGGACACTAAGGAGCAAAACAATTCATAATTCATCTATAGCGGATGCACTCAACACATGGTTGGAAAGAAGAAGATGTTCACTCAATTAGAGGACATGAAAGGAATGGTGAGATTAAGTAATGGAGACAAACTATCAATCAAAGGAAAAGGTACCATTGCTATCTCAACATTAAAAGGTATGAAATTAATTTCAAATATTCTTTTTGTGCCTGATTTAAATCATAATTTGTTAAGTATTGGACAAATGATACAAAAAGGGTTTGTGTTTGAATTTACAAACAATGTGTGCAAAGTAAAAGACTCTAATGATGTAGAGTTTATGAACATGCTAATGAGAAATATAAGCTTTATAATGGATTGGAGTGCTATGGATGTTGATGCCCTTAGAAGTAAGGAGGAGAAAGTATCGATGTTACTGACCGTACAGGTCATAGATAAAGCATATGGGAGTTGCCAAGTAGGAAGGCAACATAGATTGAGTTCTCCGAGTTTCGCGCAACATGAGAAAAGAAAAGACCCTCAAGAAAATGAAGGGGTTGATGATGTGGGAGCAAGAGGAATGAGGTCTCTTGAGAAGATTGATCAAACTTGTAGAAGCGCCAGGTTAGAACCAATTAAGGAGGAGTATCATGTGAGTCAAGAAGCGAAGAAGTCAAAGGAAGTGAAAAAAAAAGTATGGTGGCTCCAAATTTCAAGTAGCGGAAATGTCAAAGAACTTGCTTGAAATGGGCACCAAAGGGGTTCAAGGAGGAGTGTTAAGAGTTGAACCCATTTTGGTGAGTCTTAACTTAGCCATAGTAGAAGAATCAAGGGGTTGCCTTGTAAAGAGGAAAAAGCTGGGTTGTGTACAAAAGTTGGATGTGTCGCGGCATAAGTTCACTCATGTCGTGGCGTAAGTTGATTCATGTCGCGACATGCACAAGAATCCAAGAGGCATCATGCGACACTACGAAGAAAAAGGACCATTGCCACGACACACATGCGACTTGATGAAGAAAAGAAGAAAAGGAAGCGCAGAAACGAAAAATTCATGCAAGTGTTCTAGTTTAAGTTTGTTTCCTGTTTTAGGATTTTAGTTTAATTAGGAATAAGAATATGAGTTTATGTATTTTCCTTTTCTTACTATGAGTTGAATTAGGGAAGTGGAGAATTAGGGAAGTAGAACTTGATTAGGAATATTATTTCATAGGAGTTTTGTTTGTGTTTAACTAGGAAAATAGATTTCGTTTTTCCATATTGAAGTGGGAGTAGTATTTCTTTTCTTGTATAAAAGAAGTTAAACATTGATTAATAAAGTATGAGAGTTCATTGTTTTCTTCGGAAAAAGTGTTAAGTATATTGCTCTTAATTCCAACAATTGGTATCAAAACTTATTTTATTAAGAGACCTATAGGAGAAGGGGCCTATGGAAGATGAAACGAAAATTGCAGGGTGATAGTCTGCAAGAATGCCTGCAACAGGATCGGTAAGAGAAAGCCATCGAGACTCCAACAAAGAGTGGAGGAAGAAGACATGACTCCAATAAAAGATTGGAAAGAAGAAGCCAGCACCAAGGGTGGTAGGCTGAAGAAGAAGATGCCAACACTAAGGGTGGTAGGCTAAAGTTGTAGAAGAAATGAGGAGTAAGATAATGAAGAACAAGCTTAGAAGATGAATTACCAAACGGTTCAAGGAGGAGTGTTGGAATGTGAACACTTTTTGATAATTAATAAAGAAAAGGGAAGCAAGAAGAAAAGGCAAACAAGAAGAAAAAGGGATTTACGTTTTAGGCAAATTTCTAGTTTAAGAATTTGTAATTAAAAATAATTGTTTTCCATTTTTATTGTGAGATGTATTAGGAAAGAAGAATTGATTTAGGATTTTATTTAGAGTTAAAATAGGAGAATGAACTAAATTAGAGGAGTCCTATTAGGATTTGAAATATGAATCCTAGTAGAAAAAGAATGTCTTATTTTACCTATAAATAGAAGGGTTAAAACCAATTCAAGGTTGTAAGAGAGGGAATTAAAAAAAAAAAAAAATGTGAGATGCAAGGGGTTTTGATGTAAGAGTATTACGAGTATCGAGTAAATACCAAAGGGTATTAAACACTATAGGAACGGGATATTCGCCTAAGTAAAAGTATTAGGTTGATAGTATGATGAAACACTTGTATCATATTCATATTATTATAGTGAAAACCCTTTCATCCATGGATGTAGGTAAGTTATGCCTAACCATGCAAAATATTGTATGCTTTTATATGTGTTGTTTATTATTGTTCTTTTTTCTTTGTTTTTTTACTCCTCTAATTTTTAACATGATATTAGAGTAAATTCTGATTTTTCAACACTAATTAACTAAAAGTATATCTGAGAGACCACTAGAGATAAGTAAGAACGACAGTAGGTCTGAATTAGTTTACCTTTGCTCCACCAAATAGAATTGTTAGAGCAGAAAAAGTTACATGCGCAACAGCTAGAATGAAGATAAATAGGTGAAGCTCATGCAGTGTTTCCTTAGCAAAGGAACCTCATTCTGTTAATGTAGTAAAGTAAGAAGATAATTGTTAGACCTTCCAATTATAGCATGCCAAATAAATTAATCTGAGTAATAAATCTTAAGTATATTTATGTTTTACCTTTCCAGTACACTTGTTTCCAGAGTTAGAGGCTTCAGCGAGAAGATGACGGGCAATGCCTTGAGGAGAAATGAAGGATTCAAAGTGGAGAGTAGTTTTAGTATCGTTCTTGCAAGGCAACCATTTATTTGCTAAATCTTTAGGTATGCAGATCCCATCCGTAATCACATTTTCAAAAACAGTCAGTAGCAGTGATATGAACACCAATAACATCAACTCTGCATCGCATAACCACAACATGAGCACACTCTCAAGAGTTAACATTCATATATAAACTAACAGTCAAGTTGAATCCCTTAAAAGACAAAATTTCACAAATTTTAAGGTACATGTTTGCAGAAAAGGAGGACTATATGATCTATATATAAAATACCTTCTTTGATCTTTAGCAAGGCTTCATAAAGAGATTTCTGGTTCTTTCTCTTCAAAAACTACAAAACGATATACAAATCATTACTTGAAGAAATTGCCCAAGATCATCAATATCATGCATAAGAAGATAAAAGAAAAAAAAAACCTCATAAATAAGGCATGCCTTGCCTTGCCGAGGTAATGGAGGGAGCGTTCAAAAGCAAGAGAAATGACAACAATGCAGCTGCAAACTATAGCAACCACCCACGTTGGGTTTTTCTCAACACCTCCTCCTCCACTTGCCATAAATATAATCGACTCTTCTCTTTTCTTGCAATAATTCGTTCACACATACATATATTTTGAAAGAAATTAGAGAGTCATCAATGATTGATGTCAAGCCTGGTGAAGATTGGATGTGTGTGGGCTTTATTTCTCGCACAGTCACACTCACAGGTTGCTCCAACTAATGGTTTGTTTTTACTGTCGATATCTACCTCTTTCTTGGAATACTAAAATTCCTGGCTACAGTTTAAATTAATGCAAATTTTTTTGGTTTATTTGGTAAGTTTAAAGTAGACAAACTTGGTGTACTCATTGACTAGTCCAATTCTGGTAGTTTAAAGTCATTTTCAAAACAACAACAAAAAAAGCATCAAATTTCAAGTTCATAATTAATAAGAATGGACAATATTGCAGACACCCCCAACACTTTGAGTCTAAATTTCCTTTTTGATTTAGCAAATAAAGATAAGAGTTTTTTACAAGAAACTACTATCATACAATATTTGAGAAACCTTGTTTAGCCTAAGCTGCGTATGTACTATGATATGGAATCGCCAAAATTGGTAACATTGACTAAGTTTTAAGCCGTAGCTTCAGGGGAGATCAGCATGACAATGAGGCTCTTCATTTGTGTACTCCATTGGAGTTTCTTTCGGGCGTAATTTCGCCAGCATTATTGCCCTCTTCCATTGCAGATTGCTTCTGATCATCACTAACTTTAGCCAATTGAACTGCAGTGGGAAAAGTCTGCTTCTGGCCCACTTGGGTAGGGCCATTGTTAGCTGCCTTCTTCAATCCCATTTTCTTTTTTGCTTGCTTAGCCCAGCCAACAAGCCCTTCTTGTACATCTTCATCAAAGATAGCTTTGTTGAATGAAGTTCCCATCTTCATTTTACAGCAAATATAACAACAAAAAGATTTGTCAGCCTAACTAGAATTATTATGTAAATCACAGAATTTACAGAGTTATGATCCTAACTCACCTGTGTGACAAGTGCATAAAGTGGTAGGGTACTATAGCTGCAAAGGAACTGAACAAACACCCTGAAATAGCAGATTAGAATACATTAGAGTTAATTAATTTATGTGTAAGCATATAGAATTATAGGCAAGAAATTATTTATATAATTTTACCCGAGGACGAGTCTTGGAATGATAAAAACAATTCGTCCCATAATGCAGGAGTCAAAACCATATTGAATCTGTAACACAATGCATAGATTCAGAGTTAAATATGTTATGTGAATCGAATGGTATCAGTGGCCAGGCTTTCAGAACTAAAATATTACCCAAATCCAGAAGAAAACTGCAATTTCAAAAGAGTTTTGGAATAGGATGACATGAATGAGTAAGAGAACAAGGCGCGGCCTGTGAAACCAGAAGTGATCATCTGAAGGTTTAACTACCAAATCTCCTTCAACTGCTACATGTTTTTCAGCAACCTCATGGGCCAATTGGCTGATTACATGCTCTAGCTTAGTGCCTACAGCAAGTAGAAGCTGCAAACAGAGAAAAAAAGAAACAGAACATAAATCACATTTCTTCACTTCCAAGGTTTACATAGTCTCAATCATGATTGACTATATCTTCAAAATGACATGTCTACAGTTTATATGCACATCATTTTGATTGAATCTCAATAATGGCTGAGTATATGTGCATAAATAGTGAAAAATCTTTGGTGTGGATGTAGAATTTGAACTTGAAAATCTATACTTGAATTGTTAAGAGTAAGAGTTAACTCTTCTATGCGAGAGTTGATAGGAATTTGAAAATTTGTCAGTTAGTCGCGGGAAATGATAGAGAATTAAATTTGGAGATCACTTACAATGACTGGAATGAAGGCTATCCAGAAATATGCATGCCAACCTGCATAGATAATTGAAATTGTGCCTCATGTATCAGGCCCAACAGCTATATATATATGATTTGAAGCATATACGTAGAATAAACAAGTCATATGTATACACGAAATAGCTTACCGTGAACATTCAGCAACAGGAAAAGGACTACAAACAACCAAAGATACCAGCTGCCAGAATGCAATCAACGATTAATTAGTGAGAATCACCTTCTAAGGAGAATAAAATTTGAAACCATTTGATGTTGAAAGCTTTAAAAGAATTTGGCTAACCTTATTCCAACAACTTTCTTAAAATCGGCATCAAAGGCACGCATCAGGTACTTGTGAAAGTCAAATTTTGGGTTTCCCCTGCAATGATTCTGCAGAAAAATTAACTAAAACTAAAGAAAACAGCATCAAAGGAAGTAGAAAATTATACTTGAAAATTCCATATAGTTTTAGCTAGCTAGCTTACCATAATGAAGCCTAATCGCAGAGTGGTATAATCTGATTTGTTTACAGATCCATAAAACTGCTTGAAAAATGAGTGCTGAAAAGTAAAAGTGATTCTTTGCATCAATAAGCTGCCTTCTATAACTTGTTATTTTCAAAAAAATTTGCATCAACCTCTGATGACTTACCAACCAACCTAGAAAAGCACTTTTGCCAACACCCCGAAAGCGATTCTTGATGAAATCATGCTCATGGACATGGGTATACTTTGTTTTAAGAACTGCACAAGTAATATAAACTAGCAGATTAAGCAGAAATACACACAAGGAATTCCAATAATTTATGCTCTTGTATGTTAGAATGTGCTTTTTTACCTTCTTCTGCATCATATTCCTCTTTTGAAACAGAATCTTCCCAGTGTTTCCATTGACGAATCTAAACCATAGAGGACTTAAATATTAATGCCAATAATCATTATAGCTCTTTGACAATATAAGGATACAAATTAAACTTACTTTGGCTCCTCCAAAAAGAATGGTTAGAGCACAGAAAGTCACATGTGCAACAGCTAGGACAAAGATGAATATGTGAAGATGATGCAACGCTGTGGTAGATAACAATGGGGCCTTTCCCTGTCAATTAAATCAAAGTAAGAAGAAAATTGTAAGATTTCGCAATTCTGAAATGGTTGTCCACCCACAATGTCGCAATTCTGAAATGGTTGTCCACCAACAATGGAGTTAAATCACCAAGTTAAAACAAGATTTCATGCTCTAATGAGAGTAGAATTTATACATCACTTAAAGATGTAATGCACTGAAAGTTTAGTTTAATTGGTGAAACTTAATTATGTAAGTATATTATTCTATATACAGGCCCTTTACATCATAGACTATTTGCAGCATTCTTTTCCATTGAAATAATGCCCTTCAACACAAAACTACACCAGGGATGACAGATTTAAATTAAGAGGATCTGGTGTCAAAGACCTTAATTTGTTCTTTGAGGCGAAGGTGAGGGACCTCGGTGCAACTAATTAATATATATATATATCAACATTTGAGATAATTTTGTGTGTTATTTTCTTCATTCTTACAAACTTAAAAAAACTATTTCTGTATTCTTCTTGGAAAATGAGCTAAACCTATTAAAGACAGGTAGGTAACTTGGGATTAGAATAGACCAATTATTGGTTTTATTTTAAAACATTTGAAGTCATTACAACAATAGCAATTTGACATGATTAAGAGCATTTTCATACAACCACGCAAAGTCAAGAGCCAAATTGTCAGTATCATTCTGTCTTTTAATTATCATCTATATATTTTAATTTTCATGGCCTACAAAAAGAAGAACAGCAAGCTGTTAAGGTGGAATACCAATAAATCTTTTTCATTTCTTTGTCTCAAAACACATGTATAAAGTGGAAAGGCAAATGCGAACTTCAAACCATCCATGTGAGTGGTCAGATTCTGAGAAATCTGAACACAAAAACATCCTCAAGAATCTTTGAAACGAAATTATTAATTCTACTTAAATAAATATTAATTCTTTCAACATGTCATGTGTAACATAATATATGTTAAAAATGAGGTCAACTACTCCAACAAAACTTAATTCCTCATAATAGAAAATGTTTTCATAGGAAGTCGTTATTAACAAGATTGTATGTAATAATTTGGTTACCTCATCGGCGCTGCAGTATTCTTCGGAACTGGAGGCCTCGGCGAGAAGACGACGACCGGTGCCATGAGGTGAAATGAAGGAGAAGAAGGATTGAAAATGGGCAGTAGTTGAAGCATTCTTCTCTTCATCTTTCTCGCAAGGCATCCATTTAGTGGCCAAGTCCTTGGGTATGCAGATTTTGGCTATTCTTCCTTGAAACACTGCCAGTAACAGTGAGATGAACCCCAACAGCATCAACTCTGCACCCACCATTCATCACCATTTTATATATATATATATATATATATATATATATATATGAAAAAAAAACTAAAAACTGACAACAGATAAAACATTTTCCCCGTCTTTCGCTCTGCAGTTGAGAATGACTATATATATATATATATATACCTTCTTTAATCTTTTGCAAGGCTTCAAAAAGAGGTTTCTGCTTCTTTTTCTTCAAAAACTGCAAGAACAAAGAAGAAATATGTAGTGATTGTGGGAGAGAATGAGGTGCACATGAAAGATAAAGATTGATACAACAAATTTGGCCATGAATATAGAAGAAAGATATCAGATAGAGATTAATAAACATACCTTGCCAAGATAATGGAGAAAGCGTTCAACAAAGAGAGAAATGGCAACGATGACAGTGCAAACTACAGCAACAACCCATGTCGGAGTGTACTCCAATGTTGCTCCTCCTTCTGCCATGAGTTGTCTTCTGTTTTGCGAAAAACACTGTTCTAACTCTCTTGTCTTGTAAGAATATTATGAGTCTCTGTATCTATGGGATGTGAGTTTTCTTATGTTTTGGTTGTTTTGAATCGTCCACAATGTGTTGAACAAGAGAAATATATATAACCCAATAAATAAATGAATAAAGATTTGATTTTCTCCTATGTTTTTTTATTTTTAAAAATATTATGATTGAAAAGCGTTGGTCACACCATGGACCTACATAGTGATACTATTAGAAAAAATAAATTAAAGGGCGGTGCTTTCAGTGTTTTATTTTTTTAAAGCTTTTAGAAGAATATTTGTTTTACAAGTTAAATATTATATAATGATTTAGATAAAAAAAAATTGTCAAGTTTTTCAATTTTCTATGATCTTCATTATGATTCAGTAATAACTGATGTGGTATTATTTATGATTTAAAATAACAATAAAATGTTATTGTTTGGTAAGTGTAATGAACAAAGTCTTGACCTGCCAAAAGAAAACAAATTAAACAGCATCAAATTGTGTAGGAACCGCGTTCTATTATTTGGAACCTTCTCCTACCAACTCTCACCCAAGACAGACACTGCAAGTTCTTTGATTCCTTGCTTCTTATTTCTTTATTTTAAAGAAACAGCAGCTTTTTTACGCGGTTTACACTCTTTTAATTAAATCAACACGTAATTAATTTGGTGCGAAAATATTTTCTCTTTCAGATTCTGGGAAACTAACATTAACACCCCAATTAAAGGCTTTTATGACTCCAACTAAAGGTTTTATCAATCAAATGTGACGATATAAGGAGTAAAAAAGATTTTAAATAAACAAATAGCAACAAATGATCATTTTAACATTAAAGATTTATAACAATACTTAAATGATCAACCCTTTAGCGAAAATTCTTTACTTAAAAAAAGACCAAAAATTTATTCAAAATATATTTAAATAGGTAGATATAAGGAAAGACAATTTTAGTTTCCTGAAATTGGAAAAACCATTTTTCGTTCCTAGTGAACCTATTAAATTAACAGCACTATTTCTTTTTCCTTCATCTTTTTATTCTTTTTCTCACATGGTGAGGCCACGATATCACCAGTGCTGCAATTTTTTACTTAGCTTAGCCGACCTGCATTGCATCTTCTTTTCCTTTTTTTAGTTTTTTTTTTTTTTTAATATTGCTTTTTATGCTTATAATTTTCTGTTACCAACCAACGAGAAAGTGATTTGATGGAGTCATTATTATTATATATATAAAATTAATCGAAAGGAAGACCTGGGAATTGGGATCTCCATCATCTCTACTCTTTTTTTTTTTTTTTTAGTATTAAATTCGGTGCTACTTTTTATGCGTTCAATAATAATTCAGGGAGTCTCATCTCTAATAAACAAGGAAGAGACAACTAAAGATCATTATATGCATTCATACATGATCACAAGTTGTTAGTAATTTCATTTGATGGGGAAAGGGACCAACAAGAGCTAATGAGAAAGAAAAAAGATATTTAAAATGGAATTTTTACTAACTGTTGCTAGTCTGTGTTGAAATATTCAATGCATAGAGTTTTTAATGCACGGTTGATGAGGATATAATTTTTATTTGAAATATTTTACTAGTGATGATCGATATTACTTAGGGGGCATTTGGTCGAGGGTTCTGGAGGATTACTGGGGTTAAGTCATCTTATATTACTTGATTACCATGTTTGATTATCAAATAATATAAGATACTGGTAATCTTCAAATATCAATAGTGGTTACTATTGATAATATTGAAGGTAATCTGATTACCTCTATTTTCTTAGGTATTATAAGATTATCAGAGTTATCTTTTTTTGTTACAATTATATCTTTTATTAATAAAATTTTAGGACAATAATGCCCTTATTTTTAAATTTATTTACATGAATATTGCTTTTACTATTTTACCTCAATTAATTAACTTTTTGGACAAAATTACCCTTGAATTCAAAACAAATTGCAGCCCATCCAAGCCACCACCCCCACCCACCTACCGTCGGCAACCACTGCAGCGGCCAGCCGCTGCCGCCACCAGAAAGGCACGCGAAAGGCCGAAAATGGCCGTCGTACATCAATATGGTCATTTCCGGCCACATATCTAGCCATTTTCGGCCAAATCTCTGGCTGGAAATGGCTATATGGCACACGAAGGCTATTTCCTGCCTTCAGTGCGCCATTAGGTTGCCGGCTGTCGGCGGCCTACGGTGGTTGTCAGAGGTCGAAAGTGGCTAGGTTGGTGGGGGTGCTTTGTTGATTTTCCAAACTTTTACTATGGGGTTGTTTTTGCTAAGTTTTTAAATGCAGGGGGGTTATATAATCCAAATAATAATCAATATTAAAAAATAATATAGTAATAATATTTAATTAGAGGACAATTTAGTAATTTAAATAACATACCTATCAATTTATTCCTCACAACCAAACATATTAATATAACATACCCACCAATTAACCAAACACATTATTCTAAAGATTCTCAGTAATCTTTAAGGTAATCTAACTTTCCAGTACTCTAACATTCTCAGTAATCCAACATTTCCTAAACCAAATGCCCCCTTAAAGTAGTAGTTCACATATATACCTTCCCAGGAGGGAGTTTGTGTGACTATATACCACTCAAAATAAATATAGAGAATGGTGTATGAAGAAGACCCCCATAGACTTGGTATAAATTTCCAGAAGAGATATAAATTAATTAAACTAAGTCTCCATCGCTATGCACTAATAAGCACTATAATGTAGTACATTTTTTAGTAATTTTATAATAAAATGTACTTATAAGCCATATTTTACCAAATACGTCAATTACTTATCAGTCACTTATAAGTACTTTAACCAAACACGTAATTGCTTAAAATTTCAAATGCTTATAAGTTAATTTTAGCTTATAAGCAATTGTTGCTTATAAGCTAATTTTCATAAGCTCAGACTAACACCCCTTATATGTCTTAGCTCATTCACATGGGCTATGACATCAGTGATTACATGAACTTACTGACAGTGTTTTTATCTTCTCTTTAATCTGTCAAAATCGGAGAGATGGGAGGATTAATTTGAATCCATATACTAAGGAATTAATTAAAGAGTAAACGCACATTTTCCCACCCAAAGATTTGGCGAATCTACAAGTTCTCACCCTTGGTTTTATAAATTGTAGATTCCTACCTTTAAATTAACAGATAATTGTTTAATCTAATAGCTAAAAAAATAAAATGGTCATTTCATAGATAAAAATTTTAAATAACCGTTCACTTCTCAAATTCACCCCACCGGCGATTTCAAGTCATTTCGGCCTGCTTCCGGCACAATCAACCCCTCCTGACACCACCATTACAATCCCCTCAATCCCCACATCAAAACCCCTAACCTCCCCCTCTAATTGAACCCCCTAATCGTCGACCATCGCTTTTAGTGTCAATCAGCGTTTCATCCAAATTTTGGCAAGTTTCGACATTGAAAACCACCCCCAAGATCACCGACAGCATCGCCGGCTTCCCCCCACAAAAACCCTCAATATCACCGACTGCAATTACCCGCTGATCGCCGTTGCCTCTCCCTTAGGTTTTTGCATTTTTTCACCTCTTTCTAGCCAAATTCTGACACCTTGCCGATGTGCAATCAGGTGGAAAAGTTAGAGGTTTTAGTGGAGAGGATAAGGTGATGTTTATGGTGGTGCTGGGGAGGTCCAATGGTGTTAGATTCTTGGCTTGGCCGGGATCCTCTGAGGGTTATTTGAGAGAAATTTGAGATATAGGAGTTATTTTGAGGAAAACAAATAACAGCGTTAATTTAAGGATAAAATTCTGCAATTAATGAAACTAAGTGTGGGAACTTCGACATTCGCCAAACCTTTGGTGGGAAAATGTTGTTTACTCTTAATTAAATCACTTATATGAAGGATTCAACATTGTCCCTGGACCACGCTCATCATTATAATTCTAGCTTGTAGAATAGGTTATTGAAAACTTTGCAAGCCCAATTACCATCTCTTCTTTTTCTTCTCTTCAATTTCCATGGGGTCAGCTGAAATAAGTAGCGAAATCGATACCAATCAATCAGTCAAATATCAATTGATATCGACTCTAAGTCTTGTCTCCTCAGTCTTAATTTCCAGGTAACAAATTTGGATGGAGAAACATCTCATTCGTAGACTTTCCACCCTTTTTTTTTTTTTTTTTTTTTTTTTTTTTTTTTTTTTTTTTTTTTTTTTTGTCCATTTGAGTTAGGAAAACATGAAATTTGGTAGAGAAAATGAGGAGTAGATTTAAAATATGAAAATTCTTAAGAGAGGATTATATGTATATATATAATTTAATTGGAGACATTATTTAAAGCTAGGAAGATAAGAGACAATATGAGTCATGACCAATTAATAAGAATTGTACAGAAGTGTCAACAAAGATTGGCCAACAAGCATTAGATTATTCTAGAGGTGGGCATTTGAGACTAGGTCAAAAACCCAACCTAAAAGCCCAGTCTTAGGAGGTTTGGTCCCAAAACGGGACCAAGCCTAAGGAGGAGGGCCCGATCCCTCCACTAGGCCCTCCTCCAAGGCCTGGGCCTGGACCTGTCCTAGGCCTAGGCTCAAATTTTTTTAAACTTTTTCGGTTTAGTCTTTTGTATAATTATGTAAAACCCCTTATAAATTTTAAAATAAACATAAATTATAGAGGTTAAAATAAAACTTTACAAATTTTATTTAAAAAAATTAAATTAAATTAAAAATTTTCATATTAATAAATTTATTGGTAGTTTAAATTTAGTACTTAAAACTAATAATAAGTTTATATTCATTTTAATGGTAAAAACCAATGAAATAAAAGAATTTTTTTTTTTAATTTCACTTATTACACTTACTAATGAAATAAAATCATATTTATTTATCTATTATTCGTTATTGTTATTATCTATTATAACTAGTTTATAATCATTGTATTGAAATCATATTTAAAGATGAGTTAAATGAATTTAAACATAGTCATGACAAAATTAAGACATTTATGTTAAAAATTAAAGTTTTAAGATATTTAAAAATTTTGTCTTCTAAAAAAAGATGTCTATGATTTGTAAAAGCAAGCTTGATAATACTTATAATG